CACAAAAGTTGGTTTCCCTTTCCTGGCAGGGCGTTCAGCCACACACCACACAAACCGGCACAAAGAGAAAGGGATACTTGGAAAGTGGATCTTTATATGAAGCTTAGCCACACGAGCCCTTTTTATAACTGTAATAAGGTATGACATTTTCAGTAGGAAGGCTGGAAACCTCCAGGTATGTGTAGGACCCAAGAAGGAAGGTCAGAGTACACTGGAACATCTTACACTTAACATCCCGCTCGAGATGGAACTGGCTGGAGTTTTCTGACACCAGCACTTGAGCTGAGCAGAGGACACGTAGCAATGAAAACAAGGCATGATTTACACATCATTCTCTTGACTGCCATGTACCATAGCGAGAAGTAAAAATCCATGAACATAGCTTCAAAGATGAAAAACTGAGGGTTGAGATGACATGAACACCTTGGGACACACATCAGATGCACAAACTTTGCTATACCTTCTCAGCAGCTATACGACTGTTATCCAAGACCCTTATAGTCATGTTCAATTTTATCCCTCCAGCATGTACTGAGATGCCATAGCCACATCTGTGATAAAAAGGTGTGAGGCCCAGCCTACGTTAAGTGACTTAACCAAGTCCAGTGAACTTCTGGTAGCACAGGGGTCTGAATCCATCTGGTATGTCATCCACTAGACCAGCGCCTTTCCTAGCCCGTTTCTTCTGTAACAGTGCCAGTACCAGCCTTTCTGCCAGATTCCCTTACCCTACACAACTAAACAGCAGAGGAAAGGCCCTTTTGAAGATCGCCACCTTGTTCCCAGCAGCAGCAAGACACACTGAATTTAAAGGGCAAAAATAAACAAAACAGAATCTCTGCTTCCTCAGTTTGTGTAGTTCTGCTTCTCTTTCAGCATTCGGGAGCCTTGGAAAGTCCCACCTGCTTTTCTGATCCCCACCATGCGCCCAGGCTTTCCACTTCAAACAAATGAATTAGCTGTATGATCTGCCAAACCCACAATTCTCAAACCCCGTCCTGCCGCCTCCCCTGCTCACGGTACGTAACAAACCCAACAGAAGTGCAAACGCTGCTTCTCATAGCACAACCATCAGGTTATCAGCGACTGAAGAACCTGTCCAAGACTTTCAATGATTTCCAGCTGCCTAAGGTACTGAACGTTCAAAATCTAGAACTGACAGAAGATAAATACATTTCCCACCTAAAACAGCAGCCTACATAGCAATTTCTGTACAAGGAAGAGATTGGCTGCTTCATGTATTTGAGGCATAGCCCAAAAACCAAAAGATACACAATTTTAAATTCAAGCATTTGGGGTTTTATTTTCAGACAGTACCTAGCCAACAGTCAGGATGAAAGAGATACCATACCACATTACTACAAAACCCTCCTTGTACATAAATGTTTGGTTTCCTACTTTCTAAGGATGCACCGTTTCCTTTTTGCACTCAACTTTCAAGTTATTTTGTAACACAGAGAAACATTGCATGGCTGAGAGTGAAAGGTTAATACTTCACCAAATGATGATTCTTCACTCTATTAATGAATCTGAAAATGTGTGCCAGTTGCAGGATTTTTTCCCCCCATATATCTAACAGTGTTAAAGGGGGAAACGACACCATCTGCCTTCTCACTCCTGCAGTTTTCATTTTTGTAAATTGTTTCATCTAGCATAAAAACCATTTTTGAGAAGGTTATCCAAGAAACCCCAAAATTCATTCCAAAGTTTGTGCATTTTAAGAACAATTTTAGCAGAAATACCTCTGCCACTCTCTTTGCAAAAAACAAACTGGAACAAAAGATTCACAGTCTACGGAAACCGTTCTGCAATGCATCTAAACAGAGAAGTTATGTTACCATAACGTGCTAGCAACAGATGACTTTTCCCAAACTACTGAAACAACAATGGATTTCCTTGTGTAGGAGAGGAGTGACTGTATGATGGGTCTTTTTTGTACTAGGGAAGTTGTTAAAATAAGAAATTTAGTAATTCAGGGAGGACAATGACCATAGTCATATGCTACTCTGCAGCTGCTTGCCATTTACACTGATCCTGTGATCTCCATTTATAAAGGTCAGCAGTTGCTCTGAATTCACAGCTGCAATTAGGAGAAAGTGCCTCACCATCAGTTTGGTAACTAACCTGAAAAACGATCCGGTTAGAATATTGGGCAGCATGGCTTTTAGAGCAAAGGTCACAGCTACTATTCAAAAAACCCACACCTGCGCTAACAGCATCTGTCCTGTTTGTTAGGCAGCAGAGACGGCGCTGGCTTGCAGAGCGCGGCACGTCCCCTCCATCGCAGCAGTGCCATCAGCTGCACCGGCGCTGCGGGGAATGCACGGGCCTGTGAACACCAGCACTTGCATAAAACGACTTTAAAAGGCCCCACCCCCGTTTACTTTTCCTCTTTCATGACCCTGGGCTGCAAATTTTTTATTCGAACTGCAGTTCAGCAGAATAACGCATGAGAGTAAGAACCACAGAGTCAGGCCCCACAGAGCATCGACTTTTTAATGTTACTTAAAGATCTCGGGTCTGTTATACCTTAACCTGAGAGGGGAGATGGGGGGAACTGCAAAAGATCCTTATTAAGGATCCAGGGGGTTGGGGTCACAGACCAAGTCTGCAAGTAAAAATAAATAAAAATCATTACTTCTATGATACTTTCAAATACATAAAATAAAAGAATCAGCAAGTCAACTTCACAATACAAGCCCAAACCTGGATTAAAACTGCGCCCAGAGTTTCTTAGTGATGTTAACAGATTGATTAATGTCCATTATCATTAAATGATATAATCAAATGCTCCAGCACCGAAATGCTTGAAAGACTCTTGATCACTCAAATCACACTAATTGTATCAGTAACCCTCTCATTACCACTGTTTTACAATACTTCGGCAGTATTTTGTTTGGTAAGTGAGGAAAAATGTAATGCAGTTTTTTGAGCTTTTATTGACAGGGAATCTAAAGACACAAAAAAGGTCTAAGGTGGGCAGAAGTAACCATCACCTTAACTGGAAAACACATTTCTCTGCCAGAGACCACTATCAAACATGAAATCCCTTGGGTGATACTCAGGAACAGCATGCTGGTAAAAAGCCTCCTCTTTCTGTACAGCTGTGGCTCAAAAAGCTTCACTTCTCCAGCAGGCACTGCCAACAGTCTTCTCATAAAAGTTCTTTCTATTGGAAAGGGTAAGTTTATAATCTCCATTTTAGCTGTTACTTAAAACGTTTTGTATCAGCCAGCACAACAGAAGGGAATGCACACTTGAGAAGGCCAATAAGGAAGTTAGAAAAGACCAATGCATTAAAGAAGAAAAAATGTGGGCAGAGGAAAAAAAGGAAAAGGAAGCTCAAGAACTGAAGACTAAGGAAACAGGGAGATAAGAAAACATACACTGAAGATGCAGGGGGTTTGTGTGCATTTTCTGGTTGGAGGGTGCTCTCCCTCCAATACTGAAGACATTTGAGTGAACTAAGTACAGAAATCTACAGAAGTACACGCTAATCAGCACAACAGCGTTTTATTCTTTCACATTGCAAAGGAACAAATTTGGGGGAGACAATATTAATGTTCAGGTATTTCAGCAATTGCTGAGGGGAATTTTCCACTAGTTCTTGAAACCAGGGAAATGCAAACTTCTCAGACAATATTTACATGGGGGAGAATGCACACGTACTTGTATAAAAATAGCTTGACGGCCGTTTGGCAGAATCCCAACTCCTAGAGCCCCATAAAGGGATCTTACTGATAGCATTTATCATCATTGCATGAAAGCAGTTCAGGCCATAATAGAAGACCAACAAGTCCTGAAGAGAACATCTTTATGCAAGAGCATCAAGTCTGATTTTCCTATATTCATGTGAGTTTTGTTACAGATTAAATCTCTATCTCATTTTTCAGAGGATCTAAACTGTATAGTGCTCATTTTGACAGAGGCAAATAGGAAATAGTTGTATGAGGTGGGAATAACAACTTCAATCTGCTAAATCACATTACATTATGTTCCACTACAATATGGGCACTGAGCCGGTTTTTAAACTCCTAAAGCATTAAAAAGCCCTTTTATAGGGCTTTACATATTAAGGACAATTACTTTGTGTGTTAATGAGCTCGAGAAATACTTATCAGGTCATACAAACCATTTATCTACATTCATACAGAATTCTCTGCACAGTTCATTTCTTGCCTACAGCCATTTTCATGAAATGTATCTCCTGGATAAAAGCATTAAAATATAGTTTAAAGGTTCCTGAGTAACAGCTAACACCTCAAAGAGCCATCTTAACACCAGCCAACAATGACAATGAGGATCTTTACCAGCTTTCAAGTATCAAGGCAAATTTATACGCAAAGTCTCAGCACCCAATTAACAAAAACAGAACTTAAAGTTTGTGAAGATTTGTACATGTCAGCAGGAGGTAAATCAATTGGGCAGACAGGATTGTTCAGTCTCCATTCACAACAGCAAATAAAGACCACAACTCCTAACATTCAAGAAAAACAGGCAACACCAAGATAGCATCAGGGCTGGGCATGCAATTGCTGCCTGTATTCAGCAAAGGTTGGCTTCTATACCCCATTTTCTCTAACTTCTCAGTTACCTAAAGATACATGAGACTAGCTATCAATACACTATAGATTCTACAGTATACAGCCAATACCACATGAATTTACATTCATGCAACCTTTGTGTTGTTACACAACTGGAGATGCACCTTCAGAAAGCTCAGGATGGATTTAATATTTACACAAACACAAGAAAGCATTCACAAATACTCCGATAAGCAAGTGACATCAAGTGAAGGTTGTACCGCTATCATTCTGACATGCTTGTGTTGCACATCAGAAACTAGCAGACACTTTATTGTTCAGAATTCTGCAATTGGGAAAATGTTGTTAATTCATCACCAATGGAGATTAGGAGAGGCAGCTCAGTGACAAGGAATAAGCACGAAGCCACTGAAGTAACTGAGTGGTTGCGTGGGTCACAACTGGACAGATGGCAACATGCCAGACATATGAAGTGACAGCAACTTGTTGTATCTGAACAAGAAATGGAGACGAGGAAGGGCAAAGAGGAGGGAGGGTAAATTTTCTAAGAGCTTGATGTAAAACCCAGCTCTCGGGCACACATTTTCCTGAACTGTAAGCCATATTATAAAGTACAATATTCAAGATATCAGCACGAACCACAGACATCATAACCCATAAGTACGTGCCTTTCATCACTCACTCCTCCTCCCATTCTAATTAGCTAATGTTTGAGGAGAATCTATGTGCTCTCCAACTATCTATGCTTTACTTGAACACTTTACAATCTGCTTAGACTGAACAGATAAAACAGACAAATTACTGCCTAGACAGTACAATACCCCAGAAACAAAATACATCTCCCAAGATGCAGCTTGAAGCACAAATGTTATTTTACACGCTAAACTTTGACACTACTTGCTCTCAGTAGTTCAGCTGGATCATTTCAAATCCATCAGCAAAACCATTTGCCCTTTTACTTTTGAAGCAATTCTGTTTTTCTGCTAATCCTTAAGGACACTGAAGTCTTACATATTCTTGGTTACTAAACCATTTAGTACCCCTGCCAAAGCCACCTGACCCTAAAACAATTCTCTATTTACAAATGGGGATAATTCAGCTCATTTATACCTTCAGAATGAATCTAGTTTACTACTTCTACCCAAAATAATGTGCATAGACACACACAAAATGCCATGACCTCACCTTCAGTATTTCAGGTTCTTTGATGTCCAGAGCTCCTGTATTCCATCGCTTTTTCATACTTTTATGAAATTTGAGATATTCATGAGTACGTGGAGTAAGAAGCCAAATCACACAGACAGCTATCATAAATCCAAGGGCCGTTCCAAATAAGAGTCCACTTAAGTAGCCAGGGAGAGGGATAATAAAGTAAGCATAGACTAACAGTGTTAAGAAGTATAAAGTTTTCACTGGTATTTTAGGCTGTTGCACATATGGATTATTTTCATCTTCACTACTGAGCATAGTACCATTTTCCTCAGTCACCTCTGGATCGAGCGAAGTTTCAGTAGGTTTATCAGTTTTGCTTTCATCTTCTAGCAAGGAAAAGTCTTCAGAATACAGTTCACAAAACTCCTCATCCTCTCTGCTTGCTAGTGCAGACAACGAACATTTTTCAAGTACGAGTGAAGTTTTCGAACTCACGTCCTTTGTGCTTGCAGACTGAGAGCTTTTGGTCTCCGTCTCTTTTGCATGTTCCTCAGCCACTTTTGACTGATCGTTCTTATTTAGGTTAGAGTCACTTCCATAGAAGTCCCCTTCAGAATCACATTCTTCTTCCTTAATGCTGTAGTTGTTATTGCTTTCCAAATGGCCATTTAAACTGGAAAGGTTTGAGAGTTCTGAAGCACTTGAAGATAAGGCTTTGGGCCTGTGGCTACTACTTTCATCACCCATTATTTTACTGAGCAGCTGAAAAGGCTCATAGATTACTTCAGAAAGGCGTCTTTTAGTATCTTCAATTTTAGCCTCCATTTCAGGTACTTTAAAAAAGGAACGAGTGTCAGAGGGAGACGTTAATGGAGACGAGGGGGCAGTTTTAGAATCACCACCTGTAGCTCGAGGTTGAGTGAACTGTTTGAACAGATGCAAGTTCAGTTTCGAGTCGGGTGGCCTGTAAGACACAGCTTCAGATTCTTGTTTAGAAGTATCTGTAGACAGAGATTTCACTAAGGTTTTCATTAACTGCCTATGTCGCATCGGTGGGGTGGGTTCTTTTGGTTCCACATCTGTTGAAAGGGACTTGACTAAACCCTTAAAAGGCTTTGAACTAGAAACTGTGGATGATCCGCTAGAGCAGACAACTGATCTGGAAGGGGATGAGGATGGGGAAGAAGACAGGCTGGATTTCTGTTCCACAGGCGGTGGTGCGCCCGATAAGCTAACTGTATGACATGAGTGTGATGATGGAGACAGGACTAGTGGCACTGCACTGAATACTTGGGATGTGGAAGGAGAATCCAACAGCTTTACAGTCTCTGCAGTTGGCAGAACCGCAGACGATGAGGACAGCAGTGATGCAGAGTTGGCCATGTTAAGCGAGGTAGCTGGACCAGAAAAATCATGGCCGGTATGCTCAAAGCAGAGGTCTTCCTTGGCTTCAAGTGCTGTTACAATGCTTTGGTCATCTAGTTCCTCATCAAGAAATTCCTTAAACTCCTCTTCCTCCTCTTCTTCCTCCTTCCCAAATGCAGAGAAATGAATAGTGATGGTTTCTCGGGAGACAGATCGTTGGACCTGCACTTTTGGTGCTGACTGCTTTGAGGACATTTCACCAGTTTTCTCTGCATGGCTACTGTTCTGACTTGTCATTGCAGGTCCCAGAGATGTGACAGAGTCTGTGAAGAAAATGTAATACTATGTTAAATGCATTTTTTCCCCCTTCAAACAACCTTATTTTCAAGCGTTAAGCCAAACATAAGAGATGGGTTATATGCAACAGGTCAGCCAGTTGCAAATTAAAACAATCTGGACAGTTTTCAACTCACTGGATTTAAAGCTGTCTAGTCAAATTATGGACTGTTACTAAAGAAATTGACTGTAGATTTATTTCATTGCATAAAACATATCTGTATTTTAGTTAATACCCCCTTCACATCTGCTTAACTACCTAATTCTTAGTATCATTGAATGCAAGAACAGATTCAAAGACAGACATGGAGAAAAACATGCTTAGGACAATTGGCAATCATGGATAGGCATGGAGAGCATTACCAGACCTTCTTAGATGATCTTGAAGGAAGAATCTGACACAATTTGAGGTAGGAAAAAAAAATAACAACAAGCAGAAGATACTTACGCTCAAAATTACAGATCTAGGTTACTGTTTGCTAGTTAACATATTTTCACATAGCACAAAATGGCAATATTAAGAAGTGCCATGCTGTTAAAATTACCTTCAAGTGTTCTGAAATTATAGTTCATCTCTGATGCACCACCTTCGTATTTTCCCCACTAGATGCACTTCTGAGTTCCAGAAGCCCCGTCCCAGCCCAGCACACTGAAATTCTTCACTCCTAACTCTCAGTTCCTTCTACATACAATAATTAATGCTTTCTATTTCTTTTAAATAAAGCAAATTTGAAACTCAAAGTGAGGTCAAAAATATGTAAAAGTCTTCATGTGTGCGACAGTACCTTCTCTTGTATACCTGTTTGAACTGGTCTATAGAAGTAGAGATTTAAACTGTATTCTATCATGTGTGTTATCGTGGTTTATGGTTGGTCTCAATGATCTTAAGGGTCTTTTCCCACCTAAATGATTCTGATTCCATGTAGTTTTTGTCTTTCCAGGTTTTGCAAGCTATGGACAAATGATCAGGATACACAATAGTCCAATAATTGCAGGCAAAACAAAGCATAATTGGACAGAACTCAATTTTAAAAGTTATCCTCCTGAATTCCAGAACTAGACACCCTTTAAAAATGTACTTTAGCAGAATCCCAGAACAGCAAAATGAAGCAGCTTCAAACATTTCAATAAGGAACAGCATCAAACTAACTGTTGTCAAAAAGACGAGCCAGACTTCCCCAGATACAGCATGTTTGAGATCTACCTCAGATAACATATATACCCAAAGAATTTATTACTGCAAGCAGTTTTGCTGTAAAAATGTGTAAGGACATTTCAGTAGAGGCAACTGTTCTTCTCACTGACACAGCAATAGTACTTTTTGAAAATACCGATCTCTGATCAGATTGGTGCACACAGGCTGCTTATGCGAGAGATACACTAACATACCTGCCTTTTACATCAATTACATCTACACGTTATTTCAAGCATTTTATTGACCCGTGAAAGTGGATCTAGCATATATTTACATGGAGAGGAAGTAGCACACACTTAAACCAAGACCATACACCAAGATGGATCAGGAATTACCAGATCAGCTCTGCCTTTCCGGCTGTGAGGCAGCACTTTATCTTCATTGTCAAGGCAGCAAGTTTGCCACTTCAGTAACTGAATTATTTTTCAGAAGCTGTTAAAATGCTGTAATCAAACTGTCAAGCTGAATTAATGAGAGGCCTTTGCTGACGTTTAAAGAGCAGTTCAGAAGAATGATTATGTGGTGGCAAAGAAATGTGCACTTCACAAACAGTTGTGATATCAGACTGTACTATCCAGCAAGCCAGTGCCACCTGTTTGTCATCATTTTCGTGCTAAAGGTTGCAGCCCTTTATACTTGCTAATGGAGCTGTTCATGTAAACATTTTTTTTAACCTGTCAGTAAAATGAGCCGAGTTAAACATTTTAAAATAGCAGATCTTTGCTACCCAGCTTATCCAGTAATGTTGGAACAGAAGTGAATATCTGTCCACAACTTCCTACTCATTATAGTTGTCCATTTTATGGTTCCTAAATTGTTGACTAGTTTATTCCTCGCTGCTTCTAAGATTTGTGTGCTTCCCAACCAGGTTATACAGAAGGAGCTGGACTCTATCCTGCTTCATGCAAAGCCTCCAGGAATTTTAATTTCAGTTTTCAGTCCCAGTTCTGCTGCATACATCAGGGAGCCAGTTTGGGTTCAAAGAATCAAAAGCTTTCAAACGCAAGTCATGCTTTCACTTGACATGTAACCCATTTTTCTGACAAACTGCTTAAGAGACAAAATTCTGCCTCAAGATCAGGTTCTGGCTTCAGCTGTTATCATGGAACTGTTTTCTTCTCTCCTCCCCAAAGTCCATCTGATATATCAAAGTAGTAAGCAGTTTTAAATGGAGAACTCTCTTTCAGTGATGGAGGTGTACTTCAGCCCACTTAGGACTCAGCAGATTGTTACCTTTGCTGCCACGTCTGTGGGTCAAATAGTTATTTACCCCAACAATAAGAACTCTGAGTTATTCAAAAGTTTAGATATGCATTTATCAGTCATATATATATATATATATATATAACTTGGTGAGACAGGTGGTAAGAAGCTTGGTCTTTCATTTCCCTGTTGGATTAGCACACTTGGGAACGACTAGCATACAGAATCCATGCTTCCTATGGACACAGTTCCATTTCACACAGTTCAGACTGCAAATTTCCCATTTATTTAGACAAATGCACCCAAATTTATTTTGGGGAGGGAAGAAACTACTACTGGACAAGCTATGTATCCAACCTTATTTCCATTTCCCTAGTGCTGGACCATCAACTATCACACATTTCTAACCTTTTGTGCCAGTTGTGAAATTGCAAGATTAGCAAACCAAAATTTGAAAGTACAAAAACCCCTACACATCTTCCAGGTCATGGAGCCATTACAACGCTGTACACTAAGGAAGGAAAAAAACAAAAAAAAACAACAAAAAAACCCACACAAGAGCTGCACTTGCACGTGATGCTGTTGGCATCAGCTTGAAAGGTCTGACCCTTTCTCTTCTGCCCATTCGGCACTAACCGTGTATCAACGGTTAGTTGATATCTAGCAACACGGGAGAAAAATATGAACTACACCCCCCACATAACATTTCTAGTGTGTTATTTTCAATCAGCTAGGAATTCATGGTTTTGGTTAGCTCTTTAGCACACTATGTTTACACTGTACAGTTAATTACCTTGTGTTTAAACACCAGTTGCCATGTTGTGCTAATGCAGTGCTAATTACCTGAAACAGATTAATTTTACTTGCACACACCGAATGTACTGAAAAAAGATTTTACTGCTTTCTGAACAAGCAAGATCTTTTATATATCATGATTAACTAGTTAACATAGAAAGGAAGGAAATTCTTCATTAGCCAATATTTGGCTACCCTTAAACATGTTACTATACCATGAATTATGTCTTATAAAAGCAGATTCTTAAATCAGCACTATCAACAGGGCAGCAGCAGAACGTTAACATAATCCAACTGCTTGCGCTTTGGCATCCTCAGCCCATGACTTACCAGATAACTCCATAGTATCCAATACCCTCAACATCTGGCCCAAGTGGTATTTCAGTTGAGGGGACTGGTTTCCAGGAACAACCATTTCTATTAGGGTAAATAATAATTTTTAGCCTTCTTTGATCTTGCTGGAACTTTCTAAATCAACCCTGTTTATAGGCTGGTTTTGCTACAAGGCAGTTCGTGCTTTTCCCAAACACAGCTGTTCAAAGCCATATCTTGTATCAAATTTTCAAACAATTGGTACATTAAAAAAACAGCATACAATAAAGGAGAAATATTGTAATGCTGTTTACTTAAAAGAACACATGCTTTGGCCAACAGCAGATATTTCATTACAGGCATTCTGAATATCAACTGGGATTACAACAGTAGCACTCTCTCTACATTATTCCAAGCTTTTAACAACTCTAACCCCTCTCAACACACCAGATATCCTACTGAGAGTGATTTCTCCACACACAGGACAGGGGAGATTTTCCCCTGCTCTGGGCAGGCCCATGTTTCCAATCCACTCCTGAGCACAATTTCTCCTTTTTATTGCGTAGGATTTGCGTTTTCTTCTTCAAAGTAGATGTCAAGAAGCTTTTCCATAGCAAATACAACAATAGCATCAATGACTTCTTCCACTGCTACCACTACTGGCAGCTCTTCCACTAGGTGTTCAGTTTTGATAACAAAGATATTTCATCAGGTTCTTGAACCATACGTTTTTACCCCTTAAATCATTCTAACAGATTCACTTCTTCCTGATTTCTGGCTACGTTTTCCTCACTCATTGCTTCCCCTTTTTCCTACTCCTCAACTCCTCTCCCAGCTGTTTGAAGACGCGGTGTTCCCAGCCTCCCTGCTTGAAGGGGCCAGTTCCAAACCGACTGTTTGCAGATTACACGAATACTTGCAGAAACATAGGTTTTCATTGATCCTTCTTTTGAAAGCCACCTCTTTGTCCCCACCTTCTCTGGCTGCCTCTTTAGTTTTTTGTTGTTGTTGTTCATTCTGAAGATGTAAGGTATCAGTTTTATTTAAGCGGCAGGCAGGCCTCAATAATAATCTTAGATCCTCAGGCTTCAAATGATTCAAAACACGAACTTTTAGCTGGAAGGGAAGGAGGCTGCTTGGAAAGTAATTCCTTTCCCCCAGAAGTTTGAACTTTGGATGCTTTTGCAGGGTGGAATGAGAGAGCTGCCAACCAACTCCTGCCACTTCCACTTCTTATGTTAAGGCACTGCACCCCCATCGCCCACATGACAGCAGTTTATAACCCTCACCTACAGGCATCGCTTTTAAACAGCTACAACGACAGGAACCAGCCAACCAGGCGAACAGCGCACATGTGCTGCCTGGGAACAGAAAACATGTCTTGCCCAGCCCTTTCCTACTGAGCGGCGAGGCAGCGCAGTGCAGGAGCCGAGGACGCGTTTTCACCCAGATGACAACACGTCTCTGCCGCGCTGTG